CAGAGCCATAATAGGAATCCCAAAGCCTCTTCCCTCCAACAACCCCACCCCAGTGTCCAATCTGCAACTCCCTTAGGTGTCATGTGGGGTGCATCTCCAAAAGGCATCATCATGTTGGTATGCAGGACGGTTGGCCTTGACCAAGTCCAAACACCACCCACCAGCATGTGCAGAAGATGGTGAGAAGAAAACTCCCTTTTTCATATTACTCCTATACCATTTATTCCCACACAAATACCATGCCCCCACCCTCCCGTTTCTATGGCAGTAAGTAAGCGAAGCAGAAGCTGACAGCAAAACTGTGAACGGACTTTCCTGGAGAAGCTGAGAAGCGTGCCACACCGAGGCAAAATGATCTGTGCAATGGCGTAATCGACTTCCTGGCACCCAAGGAAAGAGAGTTCCTGGCACCAAAATAAATGGTTGCCCCATGATCGTAAAACTCCAAAATGGCCACACGTCACTCAAAATGTAAAAGGTGGCTGCTCTCAATCGGCGCAAAATTTAATTTGTCGTACTCAATTAGAGTGGGAGCATGGCACGCCGGCTCTCCAAACTCCAAAATTATCACTGCAGCGCCTTAAATTTCAATCAAAACAAGAGGTGGCACGGGAGTGGCATACCTGACTTCCCCATCGTCACCGAGCCCTGCGCGACAAATAGGAGACCAGTCTGAGTGATCAGACAGTACCTCTGGCTAACTAGATCTGAGTAAGAGAGGTGTCAACCATTCCTTCGCAGTAGCCGAAAATAAAACCTGGTGATAGCCTCTCTTTCGGGTAGCAGTGGTTCTAACCTGCAGACCGGGGGAAACCAGTACACAAACCCGCAGCCAAATAATCAGAATTAAACTCTTAGTAATATAGGATTAATTCAGTGAAAAAATACAGAAATTAAATGAAATAAAGAATAACAATTCAAAAGTTTGCCTAGAAAAATTATTTACATCTTTACAAGGCTGGACTGAGTTAAAAAACTGGGCTCTACCAGCTAGAAGAGGTGTGGCGAAGACTTTTTTAACTTAGTCTCGACGTTAATGGACAAAAGTTAAAGCCATGTTTGGATTCTCCATGCGGCGCACAGGAGAACAGCTGGAGAGCAGGTACCTACTTGAACAATTCAAGCAGAATGGGTACCCACAATCTTTTATCACAGGATGCCTATGCAACATGGTGGGGATAGAAAGGAAGAAACAAGTTGTAAGATCAACCACATGGCACACCCTGCCATACACCAAAAACATATCAGAAGCTGTGGAACGCAATTTCTGAGATCTACAAGTAGGCATCGCACACACCCAGAGGCTACCATATGAAGACAAATCATGCATTGTAAAGCTCAGTTGGAGGTGGGAGATTCTTCCAACATAATTACCAAATCCCCTACATGGATTGCCCTTGTGGCTATATAGGACAGATGAGGACGAAACCCCAGATTGCAAGAACACAAGTGAACGATCAAACAAGGAGACCCAGAATCATTGGTAGCCTCACACTGCAATGAACAAGGACACACATTCAATTTTGCAGCTACTAAGATTGTTGGACAAGCAGGCACAAAAACAGCTAAGGAAGTGATTGAAGCCTGGGAAACAAGCCCCTCATCAGTCATCAGGAATGCTCATTTACCACCAGCCTATCAAGTACCTAGAAGGCGAGGGCTGGGCAGCACACGCAAATGACAGCCGACTTAAAAGTCAGCCATCAACACACCCCAATCAAAATCTAAAAAGCCACAAAGAATAAACACTATAATTACCACACACAGAACAGTACACACTCTGCTAGAGAGAAGCTCTCTGAAAGTCTGAAAGCTTGGAAGACAAAACCTCTGGTCCCAGTGACAGAGCCAGATTGGATCCTGAAACAAAAACATCCTCAGCTTATATGCCATAAATAATGCATTGCCCGTCTTAGAGGGGCCATATGCAATTAATAAAATAAAAGCAATTTTCTTTTAATTTGTTAATGTAAAATTCTTGGATCATCTCACAATTAATACTCATTTATTAGTTAAGTCCCCAGGGAGAACTTTTGCTTAATATTTAATGTTTTCACAGGAACAACAGTTTGGCAGAGTCTATTGTTAATTTTCTGGTAGCAGCTAAAATCCTGCAGTAGACAAATACATCGGGCTAAAAGGGTAAATTCTTTGATTGTCCTTTGGTAATCTTAGGGTATGTATATAATCTTAATGTATGTACGTGCAAGGGCACACTACCGTGTGTGTGTAAGGTACAGGTTTTAATGTGGGTTTTGTTTATACTTTCTGTATTGAAAAAATGCTGTAGAGAAAAGGACTATTCACTGAGATGCTGAAGTTCAGATGGGCCTTCAAAATCTCTTATGAACAAACTCACACTCCATCTGCTAGGATGACTACCAGGGAAGGGAGAAAAGACCATTCAGAACATTCCCATCCTGATGGAGAAGTCTTCATTTTAATCATTGGAGGTTCTGACAATATCTGAATGAAGATTGGGAAGGACCCAGGAAAAAGTGAGGAGATCCCTGCCTATGTGCCATGATGGGAGACATGATCTTCATGATACTTTTTAGGAGACTCCAGAGAAAAAGGGCATTGCTCACCCACAAAGCATTAATTTGCAAGCACTGATTGGGTAAGTGTCAAGAGGAAATGGCATTCAACCTGGATTTTTATCAAAATGGTGTACCTCTGTAACAAGTCCACACTGAGTAGAAACGTACGTGAACAAAGAGATAGGCTGGGCAAGCTTGAGATCTGGCTCATTCTTCCGTGCCATCAAAGCCTGCCTTTTCCTGCGCAGCTCCAGGGCTTCCTCTAGGATTGTTTGTGTTTCTGAGGCACTCACAGGCACATCACACACTGGCAGGTCACTGAAAAAGAATCAGAATTCAACAAGTGTTAGTTAGTTTTGCTGCTGTTTGAGCATCCATCAATCCACTGGTGTCTGTATAAGAGGATCAGCTTTAAGCAACAGTTTACAGGTGCAAATCAGCATGGTACCATGTTTTCCCGAAAATAAGACTGTCTTACACTTTTTTGGAACCCTGAAATAAGTGCTTGGCCTTATTTTTGGGGAGGTCTTACTATTTTTGGGCACAACTTGGGGGTTGGCAGGTGGAGAGGGGTGGGGAGCGGTGGGGAGGGGGTGGCAGGTGGGGAGGGGTGGGGAGCG